TAAGGGGAGTGAAGTGAATATTAATATGGGAAGAGGTGGGAGATGGGAGGAGCCTGGAGAGACAGAAGTCTGGAAGGGGGCGGGGGGCGGGGGTGGTAGCTCTTTACCAGGAGCAAAGAGGATCTTTCTATAGTGCGGTCAAAACTTCGTGGCACAACTTATTGTCAAATATTTCCTCAACTATTTAACACAGACTCTCCAGCTTTTGCATAATGACTTGTGTCAATTTGTCTTAACAGATCAATATTTTTGTAAACACCTGTTAGCTATAATATTCTAGAAAATTCCTATATAAATACTAATAAGAAAACCAAATGGGTTGTTTCTACAGATTTTAAAAGGTCTACAGCTGGGGCAATATCACTTTTAAAACCAAGTCCATCATTTATTTTTTCTAACCGTGACACTATCTTTACAGAACGCATGTTTGAAGAACCTTTAAAACAAAAAAAGTGTTCACTATAAAATGTGTATGAGAAGCGGAAAGTTCTGTAAACTGAGATTTAAAGTATTCTATATAAATTCATTCAGAAAAGTTTTTAAATCTAGCCTCAAGGTGGAAAATTTTGAATAAGTTAAAACAAATTGATACAAAGCATGTGTGAGTGTGTGTCTGTGTGTGTGTGTGTGTGTGTGTGTAAGCGCTCGCATGTGCTCGCTTGCATGTAGGTGCAAACAAGACAGTAGCCGTGTACATTTGCCAGCACATACAATTAATGTACCCAGTTACCCCGAGACATCGCCTCTTTTTCCCGCACCCTGCCAAACCGGCACTATTACACAATGTAAGTAACATGAACAATTAGCTTTCCTAGACAAAGTACATCTCACATCTTGCGTTCTGTCTTCCTCCAACTTTCTTCTCCCCACGTCACCAGTTCAAAAACGTATTTCTGTTGTGTGTTCAAAAACTCTCATGCTATCCCGAAGTCACTCTCACTTCACAGTGTCAGTGCGACCAGAACAGTGTACCCTGACCAGCCAACTCCTCTAGAACCAAAAATAGGAATTTTCCTCAAGATTCTCCCACAAAATAGGACCATTAAAAGAGTTTGGATGTAAAAAAATAATTGGATTCTCCAGAACCCAAGTAGAGTTCAATTATGTAACAAACCGACCACAGCAAATAAACCTGTATTTCAAATAACACACATGAATAATGAATATACCAAAATAAAACAGGGTATTTTCACATATTTGTCATTACATCGCATAAACATAGCAAATAAAATGAGTGTTTACATGTCATTTACTATTACAAGCATACCACCTAACAGAAACGGTATTCACGAAAAAAATAAGTTTTCAAATTTCGATCACCGTTCTTTGACAAGCAAAAAAAAAGAAAAAACCTGGAGCACTTCCATTTTATTGGAGTACTCGGCAGGTCTGATACACCCTCCAGGAACTGAACATTTTTGAAAATGAAATTATAATCAGATGAATCAGGCAAACTGCACGACCAGTTTTTTAGTTGTAGTAGAGGTTTTATG